CCTTGGATTTCTTCGTCTTACTCTTCTTTTGTTCTTTAATCTGTGCCACGGTGGGATTTTCAGGAAGAGGAGGAATATCGTAGTCTTCTTCCACTGCTTCCCAGATATCCATGGCTTCCAGATAAGTCTCCATGCGTATCGCCCAAATCCGATAGTTCTCACCGTCGAACAAGGGTGGAACAATCGAGGAAAAACTGGTGTCGATCTCCATAACAGCCGCTCGCACACACAGGCCCCTTAAGAAATGAGCTTTGATACCAATTGAAGGTTTCTTGAACAAGAGAAAGAGGAGAAAGAAATATGAAGAAGCTTGATTATTCTTGATTCAAAAAAAAACGGCAGCACATATATTTTAAATTGCCGCCCAATACAAAGCAGAGAAAAAGGAAAGTAATTAATGCTCCCTAATCAACGTCCATAAAAATAGCTAAAAGAAATCAAAGCTTTAAAACAAGATTTAAAGAAAATAAAACTAATTCCTTAATTTTAGGCACTCCTAAGCAAATATTCCAACAGAGCTACCCATACCCGAGCTCAGCACAACTCAACCCATACTTTCTCTTCATTTCAAAGAGGCATCTGCCCAAACTTACATATGTCAATGAAAATATATCACAGAAGTGAGCGGCGCCTCTAATCTCCCAATTCCTTCTAATTTACCGGCGATGTTCTAACACCACCAAAACTCATTCTATAATATTAAATATATCAATCAGATTCATTATAACTAGAACATCAAATACTAAATTTAGAAGGAATTGTTAGATGATTTTGAAGCACATATCACAGACTTCTATAGGAAGTTAGGAACCATTTTCTAGGATAAATATAGCACATTATATTTGTTTCTCATTATGTCATTAATCATATGTATTGCATGTTTAAAAAGATTAAAACTGCAAGAAAAAACAATTTATTAGCATTATATATACAAATAAAAAGCGAAAAATAATGTTTATAAACTTACGAATCTTTGTTAGGCTTGGTATAAGTGTGTGACATGGGTGTACCAGCTAAACCTTGCTCAACATAAGTGGAAGAATCCGGCTGGCAGGGATGGCAGGAGTGGTGTTGTATGGTGGGGTTGCAAAGAGTAGAACAGAGCGGTCTCAATGGGATCCGGGACTAAATATGCCGATGAATGTGATGCGGAGTAATATGGTTTTGATGAGATCTACAAACAAGTTGTGGTGGTGACAATAACGCTGCTACTTATCTGATAGACATGAAAAGAAATAGTCTTCTACTTCCACCAAAAAAAATAATCGTGATCGATCTTAAGAGGGACGTTATCACCACCACCTAATGTCATCTAACAGAAAAAAAAAATCAAATTATTAGATCATCAAGTAAAACAGATAAATGTACTAAATATAAAAGAAGTATTACATAATTAACAACATGATCTTCAGGACATAAAAGGAAAATATTATAACTATGCAATATAATATTATTTCCGCATGAATAACTACATGTTGAATTTAAATTTTTCTCATCAATATCATCACCAACTTCATTAATTGAATGACTAACTTCCTACTAATCAATGGCAGCATCTTATACGTTTATCACTAACTCAACATCATCAATTTAAATTCTAAACTCTGACATCATCTCTTTCCAATGAACAAGTTCAATAGTATTTTGAACATTAACTGTTACTCTACGTATGGTCTTAATTATGACTGCACAAGCCATTTCTTTTTAATCTAATAGGATATTTAAGACAAGACATTTGATTGGCTTAATGTAATGAATCAAATTTAGCATATATTCTATTAAGTTTAATATCAGTAATATTAAATGACTCATGAGTTCTTCTTACACGATTAAAAACGGGATCAAACAAAACACACTTATATAGAATTATAATTATCTTCATGATACCAAGTTGTTGCAATTGCACATTTTTTTATAAAATTTCATAATAATTTATCTCATCAGCGGAATTTGTATTTCCTCTAATGCATACACCAAAATTATGTCTTTTTTTTTTATTTAAACTAAGATCTTATATAAAATCTAGTCATTCACGTCAAAATTTGGCCACACATTCACACTTCTCACAAGTTCCCAAGCACTATAAAGTAGGTACTAACTCTTAATTCCATTGCTCCGATGATGAGCCTATTAACTACATATTAATAAGAAAGTGTAGTTAATGCACTTAACCCAGAAAATAGATGTGTACTTAAGATATTTTATATGAAATTTAAACCATATTAGAAAAAAATTTTCAATATTTTTGTTAATATTATTGTCATCATCCAAGTTGAACCTAATGAATAACCTGGAATCAAAATTGGAATTTTCACAATCAAATGAAAGTCATATTTGACTTGTATATACAATTATCAAATATTAAATGAACGGTTTTACTCAAAAAAAAGTTTGAACTAATCGAAGTTGATAAGAACATAGATTGTTGATGCCCTCAATTCCTAGTCATTCAGGTAGGATGAATGCATCTACCTGATGCCTCTCTATTGGAAAATACATAACACAGTTGATGCGGGCTTAACACCTTCGACATCATTGCTGTGTGTTGGTAGCTTAAAGTAAAAAAAACAAACTCAGTAATCTTCTATAACAAATATACATTATGTATTGAGCCTTCAAGACTTTATTTTTCATAGTTGTTTTTAAGTTTGTTCAAAAATATCTAGAATCATAAAAAAATAAAAAAGATATGGTAAACACATTATTCAAATTATTAAGCATTATGTATACTTATCTTTCAAATAGATACATCCATTTATACTATATTGGATTCCTCAACATTAACCAAAATAGAGATGTTTAAGTAGATGAATATGTGAGGCCGCCTGGCTATACTGTATGAAACCATCAACACATAAATAAATATAATATTATGTGAGTCAGCAAAAAAAATCGACATAGATAAGATTGAAGCGCTTCCTTGATTCTCCATCTGATTTCCAAAAGTTTCCTTTGCTAACTCTTTCTTAGAGTCCGTTTGGCACAGCTGCAGGTGCGCTGCCCCAGGAAGTTGCTGCAGGGAAGCTGACTGTCTGTTTGATACAGCTGTGTGAAAATAGCTGCAGAACAGTTGTTTCTAGAAAAATGACAATTATATCATTGTTTAGTAAAATTGTTTAAAAGAGGACTGTAACAATAAAATTTTTTGAGCTCCAAAAACAAAATTTATTATGTAATAAATTAGTAAAACTTCAACGTGTTAACTATGTAATAAATTTAATTATTGGGTAATTAGTTATTAATTGTTATTTAATAAAAATTTATTGATTAATATATTTTAAAATATTAACTTGTTAGATATGTGAGCATATGAAATAAAAGACTTGTTATAGGAATGTTGTTATATTCGGTGGCACGATTGTTTTAAAAATATATTTCCATTTAGGATTTCACATATTATAAATAAACTAATCAATTTAACTATTTTTTATCAAATATCGATGGTAATTAAAGAAAGCCAATTAAAGGGATGTGTGCCTAATTTTTTTCCCCAAGTTGAAACACACTGTCATTCATAACTTTTATAACATAAATGTTAAAAGTCATGAATATCAATCTTTGATGCTCAAACACAAATACATTAATTTTTCATTTAAGTCATGGATATGTAAACATAAATGTTGCTAAAAAAAAATAAAATGCGAGTTATAGTACCCCTTTCTGCTATATATCACAACAAAAATTCATCGTTTACATAACAAAAGATTTAAGGGGGATACATGACTACTGTTAATCCCAAACTTCAACGATAACAGTGCAGAATTACATAAACGCATCTCAAGTAAACAATAGCATCAGGAGAGCAAGAAAAACTCTAAAATTATTACAATGATATTTAGTAAAATAATTATATTATTTTTAACATTAACACGATGTAGCTCCCGTGTCAGACTTTGCTCAAGTGATGTTCTCCATTCTCGATTAACATCATCTGGGGAATCAATCGAACCGTCTGCCCAACGGAAGAATCTGTACTGTTCGGCAATGCTCCATGGGCAGGTATAGAACTTCCTCCCGTAGCTGTGTTGTTGGCGTGACATCAGCAGTGAGGGTTTAAGGCCACAGTGACAGTGTTCGTCGGGATGTCCCGGAAATCCGTAAGCTCATCTTCTCCTGAGTGCAATAAAAAAGGAAATAACATTCCAGGTGTAACAAGATCTTTATTTGTAAATAACTCATTTTATTAGTACGACAGAAATATACATTGAATGAGAACATTTACAAAGCATAAGAAATTGAGATATGCATTAATACAAATATGAATTTCGATTTACAGCGACTAAATAAAATAAAATTAAATAAACCAATAAAGAGAAAGGATTTAACGTGGTTCAGTCATGCAGACTTACATCCACGAGAAATGAATCAAATATATTCATTACTGTAATAAAACAAAAATATACATCGCTTCCACTCAATAATGTCTCATTGTCAATGCTAAGAGATGAAAAGTAGACCATTTTCATACATTTACAACATATTCCTTTTCTGATAAAAAAAATAAAATGATGCTTTCCATATAGCTTTGCCAGAACAGGACGAAGGCGTGTTGTTCTAATTGTCTGAATTCTTTTGAGCAGCTTAACAAGAAAGTTATAAATCTTGTTTCATTCTTGCCACCAAACAACCTTGGAGAGCATGATCTCTTCTGGTTAGCTATGATCTCTTTGATCTCTTCTGGTTAGCTGAATGAGTTGAGCAAATGTTTATGTATTTATATATGAAAGTTCAGGTGTTAGAAGATAGAAGTTTAGGTTTCATCCTTACAATCATAGACTTCCCCAATGGTAGAAGTTGCAGCAACATGAGGCAAAGTCACTCCCATGTTATAAATGTTCTCATAAAAACCTACAAAACTCATCAGATTTCGAGTATAAATATTCATTGCAGTTAATGTTTACAGGTTTCCAAATCAGCCTCAAATTCATTGCACTTAATTTTAACAGGTTTCCAAAACATCCCCATTGGACTGCATTCAATATTAATTGCATTTTAAAGAGAGCAGGTTTCCTTGGTAATGGAAACAATGGTTGCTTAAAAGTTAAAGTCATCCTAGAGTGCCTCACCAGAATCCAAACTCCCAACAATGTCTTACTCCATAGCTTTACAGAAAATCTAAATAAATTATATGCAATCAAGCTTCAATGGATAAGAAATGCACAAAAAAATAATTAATACTTTAGAACATTCAAGAGTATTGATGTGTAGCATGATATGATTGTAAATGCCCCTAAAAATAAGATTTGTGGGGTTAACTGCGCCAGAACAGAAGAAAGGCATGCTGTCTCAATTTCCAGAATATTACCAAAGGAAGGCACGATAAAATAGAACTGCTTCCAGGTACGGGTTACATAAACAAAGCACTCAATTTGCAAAATATAATGAGGGTTGAACACAAATTTATACGCCCAGCTTCTCAAAGTTCATTCAAAGTTGAAATTGCTTCATCAAACCGATGCAAACAGCTATATTGTGGCAACTCACGGCCAGTTTTGCAACTTTTGGAGGTCACAGATATTAGAAATGTAAACACATAAGAATATTATGACAATTTCCAATCACACCACTCAATTTTTACTACTAAATCTAAAACCTGAACTTGAAAAAGTGCAAATATATAAAGAAGTTTATAAATCCTACTTCATTCTTGCCACCAAACAACCTTGGAGAGCATGATCTCTTCTCATCAGCTCTATGAGTTCTCAGCTCTATGAGTTGTGTAAAGTGATATGTATGTACATATGAAAGTTCTTGTGTTAGATTTGCAAATGCAGAAAGAATAAAAAAATACTTTAGAAGATCCAAAAGTTTTGACGAGTGTTGCATGAAATGTTTGTAAATGCCCCTAAAAGGTTGATTCTCGTGGAATTAGCTTTGTCATAATAGCCCCTAAAAAGTTGATTCCCGTGGAATTAGCTTTGTCATAATAGATCAAAGGCATGTTGTCCCAATTTCTTGAATTCTTTTGAGCAGCTTAACAAGAAATTTATAAATCCTACTTTATTCTTGCCACCGAACAACCTTGGAGAGCATGATCTCTTCTCGTCAGCTCTATGAGTTGTGCAAAGTGATATATATGTACATATGAAGGTTCAGGTGTTAAATTTGCAAATGCAGAAAGAAAAAAAAAAAACTTTAGAAGATCCAAAAGTTTTGATGAGTGTTGCATGAAATGTTTGTAAATGCCCCTAAAAAGTTGATTCACATGGAATTAGCTTCGCCAGAACAGAACGACATGTTGTCCTAATTTCCTGAATTCTTTTGAGCAGTTTAACAAGAAATTTATAAATTCTACTTCATTATTGCCACCAAACAAACTTGGAGAGCATGATCTCTTATGGTCAGCTCTATGAGTTGTGCAAAGCGATTTGTATGTATATAAGAAAGTTCAGGTGTTAGATTTGTAAATGCAGTAACTTCTCAAATGAGGCAAAAGAACCAGCATATACACCAACATATACATTGTTACCTTAACTTCACCATTGTTACCCAAATACATATACATTGTCACCTAAACTTCACCATTGTAATAAGATCTTTATTTGTAAATGTCAAATTTTATTAGTACGATAGATTCATATTCCCTTGCATACATACCACTCAGCAGAAGAGAAATAAAGAATCTCTCACACACATATCATACAATTCCTTTGTGCTTGCATACACCTAAACTTTAATAACATCAAGGAAAGCAATGAAATAATTTGCACATATTCCAAATGCTTTCAAATTTGCATTTATTACAAAAGCCCTTTCACCTACATTTCACGGTGAGATTAAAGTGAAAAGAAAATAATGTGTATACTCCAAATGCTTTAAAGCTATGCTACTATGCAAATTAAAAGCATATAGTCCAAATCTGCATCAAAATGATGCTCCAATGCAAATTATTTGCACATATTCCAAAAGCTTTCAATAACAAAATTTATATTTTAAGTTAAATTTTTCTTCATTTTCTTAACAGAACCATTACAAAAAATGTGACACCACAAAGTGCAAAAATTATGTTATGTAACCCTAATTATATGGACAATATTCACCCTCCAACCAATTCATCTGTAAAATGTTCTTGAATGGACGACATTTCATTTGCATCTTCCCCCTCCTTCGTGCAAATGGTGGTCGTTCTCCCCTTAGGGGAGAGAATGACCGATGCGGTATTCAAAAGCTTCAGCCGGGACTTCCTGTTCATTCTTTTTGGCATTGTCAATATCAAATTGAGATGGGTGTCGCCTAATGAAGTTGTGCAACGCCATCGTCGCTATTACAATTTATACTTATTTGGGAAATGGGTAAGTTGGCATATCGCGCAATATCACTCATTTTTTTTCCAAACGTTAAATGTCCTCTCGATGACCCCTCTCAATGATGAATGTCTTTTGTTGAATATCTCATTCCTATTTCGAGTAACATTGTTTGCTCTTTCGAAGTTTGGTATATGGTACTGGTGTTAGCGAAGGGTTTAAGGTACCCTCACTGCATAGGGTAGTCGGCATCCACCAAATAATACTTTCCTGTAGAGTTCCACTTTAATTTTAACATATAAAGTGAGAAACAAATGTATGTCGGTAAGCAACGTACCGGACGGAGGGTGAGGAAAGTTAAAGTGAGGATTCCTTGTAGCACTCTTAAAACTTTTACTGTCGTGTGCGCTACCCTCCCAGCCAGACATGACGAACATAAAACACATGTTGAAGTCATAGACGGCCATGAAATTCTGAGTTAGAGTTCCAGTGCGACCAATAAATACAATTTTCTCATTATTTGAAACTCGTGCATCAACGTGGGTACCATCTATTGCACCAATGCACTCCTAAACAAATATTATGTCATGTGAGCAAATGATATTGTAGCACCAAACAAAATGAAGTTGAGAAATTACTTTGAAGTAAGGCATGTATCGTGCATCGTGTCGAATCTCCAACGAAGTGTATGAAAACGTTGGATCGATTGACTTTATGACAATCTTGTACAGGCTAACGAGAGCATTCAACCCCACTGAAAGGCATCTGCTTATCGTTTCCGATGAGTGTTGAAAGTGTTCCATCGCAGCACGAATTGACTCGTTCTGTGATAATATGCACATAGTCAATGTCAAGACCTCACAGTCAGTCATCCTTGATGACCCAAGTAAGCCATGAGATCGACTCAATTTTGCTAATAGATCTCGAAAGACTTCCTGCGTCATGCGAAACATGTTACTGAATCTTCTTGGATGCCCTGTTAGCATTTCTCCTACACATTTGTCCCCGATATAAGATGATGTATAATGCGGAGCGCGTGCAATGTATGTGTTGTAATATTCCATGACCAAGTTAATTGTTGTAGTTCTCCTTCGATGTCGTTCTTGTTCCGAGTCCATGCCCTTGTTAACTGTACATGTAATCTCAAACGTGGAATTATGACTTATTAAAATTTGTACAAAATGACCACACAAACATTGTATATATGTATGAAGTAGCACTAAAAAAATAGAATATGCCAACAAATGTAATGCAATAAAATATAAGGGCTTTAAAGAAGATAAATAAAATGTCGTCGGGGAAATTCAAATGTCTCACACAGCAATAATTGAAATAAGATAGTCTCGAAGCAAATTAGAAGTTCTAAAATAACAAGCAATGATCACAAATTGTCTCTAAATAGCAAAATAAGCATATGTGTCATCAAAAACAACAAGCATACGGGCATAGAAATGACGTAGATACGCCACCCGTCGTTCTTTTGCAATTGCAGTTAAAAAATCTTGTTGGACGAAATCTTGAAGCAACTCCACAGCAAAGTAGAAGAGATCTACATCCTCTGCAATCTCAATATCATCTTCTAAGATTTTCACAACTTCGTTAATAAAAAGCTTTTGAACTTTATGAGGGGCGTCATTGAAAGAGTCCATCAAATATGATATATGGTTCCTGATAGAAGATGCTCCACCCATTTTTTTACTCATCAAACGAGCACGTTTCGAACGATTCGTGGATTGGATTTCAAGAATATCATGGCTTTGGAAATCGGGTGAATCAGCAGATAAACTAACAACGACATTTTTAGGGGTGCAACCAAATCCAGTCTCGCTTGGAGTGCAAGCATATTTTTCTGTTGCAACCACCCCACTAAACATTTGGTCAAATTTCTCCTCCAACTTCGGCTCTATACCAGCGACTGAATTTCTTCGCTCCTGGGACCACCTGAAGAAAAACATGTAAACCATATTACTGAAATGAATTAAATGACATAAATTATACGGAATGCAAAACGCCTTACTGCAAGTCTTTCTGTCCACCACTCCTCCAGAGTGTCAATTGTTCACTTGATCGGATCCTAACCCAAGCCCGTGGATCTACTTTTCAAATCTTTCCAAATTTTCCAATTTTTTTTTCAGTTGATCTCATTTGTTCTTTAGCTGCAGCCTGTCGTACTCTCTGTCAGTACGTCTTTGAAATTTTTTATAATATTTTGTCACCCTCCTTATCAAAGAAGATAGTAGCTCTATTGTCCATTTTAATTTCTTTTAGACAAAGGTCACAAAATATATTTTTTATGTTTTTTTCCCATAGCGCAGATGTACCAAGCTCTTTATTTTTATTAGTCATCTTACTACTATGATAAAGATGAACATTGGAAAAAAGTAGTGACACTATTTATAAACTTACTATTCACTTTAATGATATAAACATGAATAATAAATAACATTAATAATAGTAAAAAAATAAACAAGTTAAGTAGCTAGAAGAATGACACAACAATTAACGTGGTTCGGTCGAATTGACCTATATCCACAGGGAAAGAATCAGAGCTCTTTATTAGAAATAAAAGTTAACAAACATAGTTTACAACTAACATTTCACGACTTCACATAATAAAAAAATAAAAGAGCTTAAAAGCAAATGTTTTGAAACTTTCATACATACCATCCAATTTGACTACACACCATACCATCACTTTTTATCACTTCTTTTTTCTTCCCTTTGCCCCAAGTAAACTAATGTTTTCATGTAGCTCCACGAAAAGGCTAAAGGGGATCAACATATTGATCTCAACATAACATCAACATCTATTTCAAAATGTTGAGTCTTTAGGATATTTTTGATAGCTTGGGAGAAATATTCCCTACTTGGATATGTACTTCTAAAAAAATAGGGAGCTAATAAGAAATATTCTCAAATGGATATATACTTCTATGTGGAAACATCAATCTAAATTCGTTAATACCTCCATTATCAATCTCCATGCTAATGAAACAAGTAGTCATATACCAAAAATAACTATCATTAGCAATCTACTATTTTTAGCCAACAAAATAAACCACTTATAAAATAACAGATAAAGAAACATATTGTGATAAACGAAAATACATCCATTTTGTCATTTTCTCCATTACCAATCACCATGATGCAAATTCCTGAGCTATCACCAAAGATGCAACACGGTATTAAACCCTAAACACTTCCAATATAAACATTAAAAAGTCTTTTTTTCGGAATTACAGACAATCTAACTGAAACCAGAGCACCCAAAAAATCGCACATAACCGAAACACCGCAAGGGCAGCTTCACAGAGCAACCAAAAAGCAAAAGATAATCTAAATGAAAGAACAAAGCAACCACAAATATTCCTTCCAGCATAACCCCAAATCTAACAGGATAGCTAAAATAGGGTCACGGCGTTATCTCTTTCATGATCGAACAACCAGCATAACCTCATAAGACATTCCAAATTAACCCAACAAGAGATCCTTGCGATAAAACCAACTTCTAGATCTAAGGAAACCCTTACAAGAACGGGAAGGAAGATGAGAAGTATATTTTATACCCTTGTTGTGAGTAGATTACGAGAACAGGAAGAGAAGATGAGGAAAGGAGAAGCACAGGAACGGTCACCGGTCGGAGAAGATAAGGGGGAGGGACGAAGCTCTCGGCCTCTCTGAAATCTCGCGTTCTAGGGCAAAGGGGCACTTGGGTAAAAAACGAGTTTGAAAAACTGGGCAGCAGCTCTTAACTGGCTGCTCGGCTTTCGCTCGGTACCGCGGAAAGCGGCGCAGGCCCGCCGAAACAAACGCGAAATCAAAATAAAAATATGTGGGGCAGCACCACGCCGCAGTGTCGCCGCCCACTAAACGGACCCTAAATCATTTGCTCTACCAGGCAATGTTTAGGGTGCTGGCCTGGCTTGTTTGACGTGTGGTGGCTTATTTAGGCTATGCCATTAAAAAGGGCTACAACAAGCATAATGCTGCCAGGATTTGGAGAATGAACAATGCTTTTGCATGGGATTTTATGGCTTTATGAAGATGTTAATGGTTGTGTAATAATGTAATTCAACCATCAAGACGCATTCCCTTGAGCACTTATACTAAATTTTGTACTTACACATACAAAAGTTGATTTTTTTTAAATCAACACAGCAACAATACAGATTATCCACATAGCAAAGGAAAAAATTCACAAAAAAAGGTGTGTAGTTGTGGGCAGGCCACTCAATGGAAGGATGTATCTGTCTCTTAGACATACAAAAGTTGTTCAACAGGAGCAATTGTTACTATCATGAATATTACATTATTGTTTTCAATTCCTAGCTAAAATTATGATCTACAACTTGTGATTGGTCCCATCCTAGCTTGTGTGCTACATCAAGGTGTATCTGGTTCTTGTGCGTTGCTCATTCATTTGATTATGACACCAAGGTGTTAAAAGGATGGTATATGTTGTTCATTGTGGCGGAGCTGTTTGGAGAGGGGGTAAGCTCTTGTCCTCTTTTCACATGGTGCGGTTAATGTCGTTATATTGTGTTTTTGATTGACAGTAACATATTTCAGTGAACCTCTCCCTCTGTTCATGTTGGTTCTAAAGCAAATTTGTTTGCTATTCAGTCCTGAAGCATTTAGTTACAAGCTCAAATTTTTTTTTTTGCTGAATTATTTACCTTATGATGAAAATGTGAGTCGGTCCTAAAGCATTTGGTTACAAGTGCTTCTAAGCAAATATTGGATTAAAATGAAAGTAGGGACACTGCACGCATCTTACAGTTTTCACCAAATCAATGGAAGCAATTTTGAAATATCTTGCATTCTTAAAGTAATTGGTGGCACGGGCTTTTGATTTTTATTACGAAACACCTTGCATTCTGAAAGATTCTTTAATTAATTAGTGGATAAGCAAGGCATATGACTTTATTAATGGCAGGGGCTTTTGATTTTCAAGGCATATGAGTGGTAATACATCGCCACTTCAAAACATTGCTTAAAATCTCATTTGTGGTTTTCTGACTGGGTTGCTCGATTTCCTTACTAGGTTTCCTAGCCTGGTTGCTATCTACCTTGCCCAGTTTCCAGGTTTTCTTGGTGTTGGTTTGGTTTCTACATGTCCAGGACCTACACTTAAAATTGCATATATGTCATACAATTCTGGTGTGTTGGTCGAATTTAAATATATATCATTCCAAAATGTATTATGTATGAGGCATATGTTGAGGCCTCAACCATATATTGAGACAATTGTTTAGGCATATATTGAGACATATATGCAGGCATATATGATCCCGTTAAGCAAACAATCGATGCTCCAGATGAATGGTGGGTTGAGAGATTGGAGGTAATAATTACATTCTCATTTTGAACATTTTAATATTTTTAATTTTCCTTGTAATTGTATTTCTCCCTTTTGTTTTTATACCCACAAAATAGTGAGCACTTCATTTTATTTTTTTTAACTGACCTGTAACAGTTTGAGGCTTTTGTTCTATCTATTATTTTTCATATACAGTTCTGTTGCAAATAATTTTATCAAAGAGGGGCAGAATGGTCATTTATCCAACAACAGCTGTCAGTAAGTTGTTCTGAATGAGCTGCCTCAAACAACAAGCCAGCTTATCCTGATAATCTGCAGATTATCAGAATAATCTGCTTATCAGCAGATTATAAATAATCTGATTATAATTGCCCCAAACAGACCTTAAGTGGGTTTAGCTACATGAATCATTTATCCACTAAGTTTGGCTACATGAATCCTTTATCTCCACTGTGTCTTATTGAGTGTCATTGCACATGTTTAGCAGTATACATAAATGTGTTGTTAACCTCATTTTGATGTTTTCCTTACTCCTAGAGCCTAGAATCTAGCCATAGAACATTTCTATCAACTATCTTAGAAGACTAGTAACGGGACCCACAACATTTACAAACTTGAACCATCTCTTAACTCTTTTGCTAGGCCTTACAAGGGTGGTCCTAGGTCATCCCCATTTGGTCGAGTGGTTATGATTTTGAGTTGTCACCAACTGGTTGGGTGGCTAGGATCATGTACCATCACCGTTGGGTTAAGTGGCTAGGACCAACACGTCTGGGCCCGAAAAGAGTTCCTATAGGGTTTAAAATTCTTAGGGCGCCCATTATTACTTTCACACATCCGTGCATACAGATGTCACAATTCGCATATTC